ACGTTTTTGCCCAGATTTGTTCCGTATTTATATTTCTGAGAATAATACTATGGGACACAAACCAACTCATGCAAACATGAACTAATTCTATATCTCAACGAGAGTAAAATCGACATTATTTGGTTAGTGAAACCAAATATTTCAATTTATAAATAAATTGCTGTTATTACCGTTCTATGTGTTGCGATAAGTTCTATGCAATTTGTTTATTTCTTTTCAACTAAGTTTATTTCTTGGTGCAGATTTCCGCGATCAAGACTTATCAACCTTAAAGGAAATTATTAAGCACGAGATTAAATTCTTAGGCTAAAATTGAATATTATGAGCTACTAGGGTCTTATCTTAGAAATAGACAGTTCAGGAGTTCATAATTGTTTGATCGAGATAGGCATTCCCCAAAGTAGCGTTCTGGCCTATTCTATTCAACAGCCAAAAGCACAACAGTAACATTAGTTCTATCTTCTGACTATAATGCGGTTTAATAAATCTATAAATCCAATCTAATACTGTTGAATAATTGTCAGAAATTTATCAGCGAAATAAATCGGTTGTTATGAGAATTAATAAATTTCAAAAGTGGCATGTGTTGAATTTTTATTTTTCGATTTGTTTTGATGCATGTGCTTCAGATAAAATACATTCGCGTTGCCATTAATTTATTACACCAATTGCTTTTGCTCGAGTGAAATATTTTCGACATATTAAATAACGTGTGGATTGAAATAAAGTGATTAAATCAGCGTTCGTCTAATTAATTTTCAGATTGCAGTACTCGTATATTAATTACTCGATTCCATTTGTGTTTCAATAAGACCGCGCGAAATGATTCGCGTCGAAATTGACCGCACGCGTCGTCTTGTTCGGAGGTACTTCTCTTGTTATGAATTATTATGAGATATTACGGAATCAATTTGACAGAAAGTTGTAATAAAGTAATTTGTCATATGTTAGAAGATAAATGTTTCTGACGCTGTATTATGCCATAGGCTAAATAATAGTTTAAATCCTAGTTTTAAGAATCACTTTTTAGATTGGCTAATTGTAAGATGGTATAACTATATATTGTACGACAAATTAGGGCAATTTACACAATATCTGCATAGATTTGCCAATTCATCAGAGGATATATAACTAAGTGTAACCAGATCTTTAGATTTTAAATTTTGGATAATATTGTGAATACAATTATATATTGCACTTTTGAAAATTTGTGGATGCGGGGTGCATGTTGAAACTTGTGGATTAAAAAAAATTTGCACACGATGATTTTACGCGACCAATTTGACTATTAAATGCCCCTAAATATGTACCAAACTGGTTCACACATGAAGGACCTAAATATCAATACAGTATATGAAGAATTCCAGATTCGTAGTAATAATTATAAATAGAGAATCATAAACCATCCTAATCCATACGTTAAATATCTTCTAGGGCCCACAGGAATGAAAAATTGAAGTGAGAACGACCCCTTTAAGAATTAACAGGTTTAACAATTTAACAGCTAAACAGGATACCATCATACAAATCAGAACAATCAGTGAATTGACAATCGATATAGACGTTTATAAATACGACCAAAAATATGCTGATGTTGAAGTGAAGATGAATTAAGTGCAAATAATAAAATAGAAAGAAAAAAAATGACGATTGATTATTTGTATTATACTATGATCTACAACTTTGTCTCGTTTCTATTCAGTTGAATTTTTTGAAAATGAGGTGTCTTTTGTGGTATGACTTAAATCTTTTACTCATCAACATTTTGCTGAATTTTGCAAACTGTTTTTTTAAGCACACATATTTCTAAACACGAAGCTGTTTATCGTAACAGAGCGCGTCAATTATGTATGCAAATTGTAAAGCGCGGCGTCTACACGGCCGATCAGGGTCTGTTAGCCGTTCAGCTGAGGGAGAAGAATAAGAAGAATTTATTTAAATCGTACTTTGAGGTATAGGCACATTGCCATACAATTTTGTTCCTCCCTGGTATTTAAACCTGAAGAATATACGCCAATTGAAGGTCTTCTCGATAAAATCCAATTTATCAATTTTCAACATGTTACCTCATCTATTTAGTCGAGATATCATTGAAAATGTGTCACAGTTGCACCTTTTCTCAACTTACGTATCCATAAAATTAACTTAAAAATACGTGATTGTATGTTAATACATTACATACATTAGATTTCAACGAAAACACTTTTAAATAGCGTATAATATTTAGATTTAAATACCAGGGTGGCACAAATTTGTACGGCAATGCGCCCATGCCCTTAAAGTGCGATTTAGAGAAATAGTACCTTTTTTTTATTAGCGTTAACTAGTTTGAACTTTATTATTCATATATTTAATATCTAATAATAAATAATTATTTACTAATTGTTGAATATCAATATTCTTTGATAATTGAATATCAAATTAATCTATAAATCATTAATCAATATTATTTTTGTTTTCTATTTTTAAGCAATGCGGTTGTTTGATTACATTACGTTTGTCAGACTGACTATTAGTTAGTCAAGTCATTGTAAGTTAAATTATTGAGAATTGTGATTTGTTACCGCAGTTTTTAGTCTTTTTATAGTATGACTTAAGTCTTTTACTCATCAACATTTTACTGAATTTCGAAAACTGTTTTCTTAAGCATACTTATTTCTAAACACGAAGTTGTTTATCGTAACAGAGCGCCAATTATGCGCATATTTTTTTCAATTCTTACAACTTGTTGTTAGAGGTATGAAAATTATGTTTTGATTCTCAGTCCTGCTAAATACTAAAATAAAATTTTATTAAATATATGCCATATATCAAGCTTTCCATGAAATTCATCACATTGGTAGTCTAAATTCTAAATCGTGAACTGCAAAAATTTATTATTCTTTATGCCTACCAGCCCTTCCATTATCCTCAATGTTTATATGCACTTATTTAGTAATTATAGTCATTATCGAACTCGCACGGCGCAGGTTGGATCAATTATCGAAAATAAATATTTACAAATTAATCAAAAGAGTTGTTAATTTGCCGAAAGCAGTATGCAGTCTCAATTATACATGTAAGGAATTGCCTCGTTAGACGATTTCTTATTCAGAAATTAAACTTGTTTTCTCAGGGCGACAGTTTTATCGTCGCATTAATTTATATTTATGTATAAATTTTCGCATAAGCTATAATTAATATGAGGCTTTACGTAAGCTTTAGTAGTATAAATGGTTTGGATTGGCTATATATTTAATGTTGCCGGTATTTAAAAATAGTTTGTCACTTACTTTCAATTTAACATTCTTAATGCTGCGGTACATATTTTTAGTTGCGGAGAACATATTTTGATTAATGTCAACTGTCTACAATATTAGAGCAGTTATTAAAATTGTATGAAGGCTTTGGTCTAAAGTAAACTCATCTTATACTTTCAAACTTAAAATGGCTTATTGGTCGTGAATCAAAATTGTCTATATATTGAGCTGCTAATATATAAGACCATAATTAAGCCTATATGGACTTATGAGATAACATCCCCCGACTGCGGGGATGAAGTAGTACATCACATATTTGACTAATCCGAAACTTTAAGGACGATTAGTGCCCCATAAAAGGCTAGAAACAAAATCATACACTGACTTTTTACAATGGCACATTCTTTCTATATTCTGTCTAAAAGAAGACTTCACAAGAAATTGTTGTAAACTTTATGTAAAAAAATGTATTCCATAGTTAACTGAAGCTCATTGTAGCAATTTCTAGCGTTTGCTTATTAAGATTTATAACTTAAAAATTGTAGAATTCTGTCAATAACCCTGATTGTTTGTATAATATTTAAGGATTTATGCCAAAATGTTGCGCTTGTTCGTAGGTCCCGGTTCGATCCCGCTTGTCAAGTAGTAGTGACATCGGTTTTCTCTTGGAAATATATATAGCAATATGTTACCTAGTAAAAATAGTCTTCTCCCTGTATTGCTACATTATAGTTATTGTACTACAACACTATTACAGTTATTGTAATAATCAACTTAATCACATATAGAATAGGCAACTGTTTGGGTTATCATCTATAATACAAACTACGTAGTTATTAAGTTATTTATTACAAGAGCTTTGCGTTCTAATTGTTATTGAAATAAATATAAACATAAAAAACGTCAAAATTTTAATATTTTCTTATATTTTGTAGTTTAGATTGAAAAAAAGCATTAGTAGAGGAACGGTTTTAAATAACATAATTGAAAATGCCCATATGTTTTTAAAATGAATTGAAAGTATATTTGTTAATGTTGATTAAAAAAGGCTTGCTCGTATGTAAGGGGCTAGAGCGACATGATTTGAAGTCATGGATTTAATACCGCGTTCAATTCTCGCTTTGAGCAGCCTGATGTCAAGCTGTAGTGACATCGGTTTTTACTTACAGGGAGAACCTCATGTTTACTCTTCTGAGATTTTGATGAAACTTTGCATAGCAATAGAGTTTAGAAATTAGTTTAGAGATATAGGTAGCAGAGCAGTATGTTTCCAATAGTAAAGAGTCCTTACTTGCCATTGCTGCATCAATAAAAATTCACTAGTATTACAATTGTAATAATAAAATTAATCACATAGAGATACAACAACTGTTTTGGTTCTGATCGCTGTTCAAACAAAATAAAAATAAAAAGCCTAATGTCAAGCTGTAGTGACATCGGTTTTTACATACAAGGAGAACCTCGTGTTTACTCTTCTGGGATTTTGATAGAACTTTGGTATTACAATTGTAATAATAAAAATAAAAAAAAAACTGAATAAAAATAAAGAAAAAAATTACAAAGGAAAAAACACCCAATCAATATGCGTTAACTGAGTATAAAAACTGCAAGAATATTTGTTCAATTTGTTTATGCCGATAACATTGTCATAGGTTTTATAATAGTAGTTATGTATGTTTTATATTCATCATCTGATATAATCTATGTTTATTAATATATTTTTTCTTTGTTTGCAGTTGCTTTGCCAATCCTGTTCTTCTACCTATGGGGTGAGCCGTACAAAAGAGGATTTTTTTGTGACGACGAATCACTAAAACATCCATACCATGATTCTACTGTAACCAATGTCATGCTCTACCTGGTCGGACTATTGTTTCCAGTATCAATGGTGAGTTGCATAATTATATTATAATATCATCTAAACAGGACGAAGCGATTAGAAAATTATATCTTTACTCTTACATCATCTACCAACACAGTACTGTTTTTTTTTTTTAATTTACAATTTTGTCAAATGAAAAATAATTACTTTCGAAGCAATATGTATAATAATTGCAGTTCCGTGTTTTTCATGCTTCCGTTAATTTTTAATAAAGTTAGATCTGTGCTAAATCAGCGTGATGTATAAGAATTAAGTCTAACAAAATAGTGTATACATAAAACTAAAATAATATATTCATATGATTAAATTTCAATCAGATAAAAGAAATATTTTTTCAAATTAACTACTTAATATTATTTCAAATTTTTTGTCTGGGATTCGAGCTCAGAACCTCCAGCGTGTGAGTCAGGAACCTACTCTATGAGCTAATTATCATATATTTTATAGAGAGTTCAATAATAAGTAAAGATTTTGTTTACAATTCTTTGTGTTCCGTACCAAGATTTATAATGTTTTGAGTTCACTATAGTTCAAACAAATTTCTTCCACATTTTCGACATTATGAATCAACCAACTTCAATGAGTTTCAAAATTTTCAAATACACATCTCAAAATTTTCAAAAAAATCTTTTTTTTTTTCAAAAATTTCAATATTTTCAAAATAGTTGTAAATTTAAAGCTATTAAAAATTGCATTTCCGATACAGAAAGTTCCAGCATTAGAATGGAAATTGTTCAACAGAATTATTCAGTATTCAATTCTTCATTATTTAACACAGGAAACTTGTTTTTTATGACATTTTCATATTCGTCAGATCTCAATTTTTGTTAATTAATTAAATTGGTTTCGATATCGAAAAGTTGCTACGAATGTCACATACACCTGATTAACATTTGTATTTGTTGTTTTATATATTTATTTATAAATGGTATGTTACAACGTTGTTGTATGAGAACCATATTGTATTAAAGTGTTAAAACCATTTTGTTAATTGCATTAAAACATTTATATTACTAAAAAATAGAAAAATATATATCTATATTTGCTTTCCAGTTTTTATATTTAGATCTTATCTGTAAATTTTAACATAATCGGTTAAAATACAACTTATTGCTAAATATATGAGTGAATTTTTTAATAATCTTAATACGGTTGTACGGCATGTTATGTGATGAGAACACATAATTTGATTTTATTATTTTTTGTTATAATTTATAAATAGAGAATTAATATTCAACTTACGAACATCTATAATAAACTCATTGCTAATTGAATAAAACTTATATTTTTCTGGCTTTTATTATTTTATTTAAAACCGTTTTCAATTTTTATGTGCGATATATTTTGAATGTCAAAAAAATATCAGCAGTGCTTTAAAAATAAACTTTATAAATATCACAGCATGAGAAATTCCATTACTGATTTATTGCACGGGGTTATAATTTATTTCTCGGGCATGTATAAATTCAATTATTATTATAATTTTATTTTCATACATGCTTTTATATTTTATTTTAGAATATAATAAAGGCTAATAAGATTTTTATTGCATCAGTTGCTTTCTTTAGGGTCGGCAGCAAAATGTCAGGTTCTATATTATTACAATATACATAGTACGGCATTTCGTATTCAACCTTAAAACAGAAGGGGCTGAAATTGAAATTGGGAATACAAGGACTATATTACATGCTTTGAATTTTTTCATATCAGATACTAAAAGTTTCTTATATATTTTACAAACGTTTTATTTTTGGTTTTGTGATTTTCAAGAATGAGATCAAGCCTCTGAAATGAGATAATGTAATTTGAATTCTAAAAAATCAGAAACGAGTTTTATTTTAGGGGGACAAAGGCAGGGGTATGTTCTCATTTATCATGTCTTTATTATATTATACGGGTGTCCCAGACCTTGGCGTCAAGCCGAAATGGGATAATAGTACTGACCTTAACTGTCTTGAGAAAATTTAGAAAGAAAATGATCTCTCGTTGTTTGGAAATTTTGAGCTTTTAAGTGCAATCTAGAGCTTTGGTGCAATCATGACCATTTTACGGTTGTGTGGTTAATTTTATTAATTTTATTCATTTAAACTTTGGAACTGTAACCGTGAAGAATATTGGTAGGACCACAGTAAAAAATAGTAACACAATTGCCCCAATTTTTCAAGAATTAGGTTTCTTTGTTAAACTACGAATTTCATTTTTTAAAAATTGGTCGACTTTGTGAGGCCCTCAAAGTACTAAAGTGTGTTGGAAAGTTTTGTCAAAATTTGGTGTATATTTAATCAGGACTGTAAAATGGTGAAATACTTTATAATTTTATTATTGAGAATTTTTGACTAAAAAATAAAAACCTCAAAAAATGACACATTCTAAATTCATAGCTCAACAAAAAGTCTTTATTCTTTAAAACTTATTATTAGGGCAATTATGTTATTTTTTTGACTGTGGTCTAAGAAATGTTATTCACGGTATGATTCCAAATGAAAAAAAAGTTAACCACAATAACCGAAAAATAGTCATAATTTTACCATAGTTCTAGATTGCACTTAAAATCTCATAATTTTGAAACAACGTGAGATAACTTTTTTCAGGACATTTGAGGTCAATACTATCATCCCGTTTTGGCTTGACGTCAAGGTCTGGGGCACCCTGTATATATATAAAGTTATTGTATGTTTGGTTTATGATGCATATGTGTAATTTAATCATTTTGCTGATGCCTTGTAGCACCTTTCCTATACAGGATCGCCAGACTTCTTTTTGCATTACAGCCATAATATTTTCTGTATAGTGGTTTTCAAAGAACTAATCTACTAGGAGACCTCAGAGGTCAAATGCATTGTTTAGTCAAAGTTACATCATTCATCGTTTTTAGTATTTGATGAATTACTTGTCAAATGTCTTATTTCAACTTTGCGTTAAGGTTTAACGACTAATTTTCAGATGTTCGACTTAACAATACATAATGCAGTTTCATTTTAGAGTGGAAAAACAGAAATAAAAAATTGCAAGTCACGAGAGGCTAGAGCCAATCATTTACGTCGACCGGTTGTGATTTTCATTTCTCAATATCGTTGCAAATAACCGATATTGGTGCTAAAGACTAAACGATACATCGTAGAATTCAATAGATTAGTTCCGGGATGCTGTTCAAATTGAATATTAAATATTAAGTGGTAAATGTTTAAAGATGTATTGCTGCAGTATTGCCTTTTCTTATTATAGAATCATCAAAGATCAAAGTTTATAAATTTTTATGTTTCAATTTGTACCAACTGAAAACTACATCTGCATTTTAATTCATTTCACTCTAATATTTAAATATCTTGATAAGAATTTGTACCTACTTTAATACTCTAACGGAGCTTTTATTTAACATTATTATTAGCAACTAAAGTTGTTAACATTGCAACAATATATTTCTGGATATCTTGAATGTAACAAGTAACATAGGGTAAAGCGGGGCTTAAAGGTTCATGGATAAAAGGTCCACCACCAATACCTCACAAACAAGTAAAGTTAGGATTTTTTTAACAATAATATTTGAAGATAGAGGGAAACAGATGTTTAACCAGACAATCGCCTTAAATCAGAAGATAAAGGATAATGTTTGAAAATCTATAACAGAAGTATTTTCTTTCGTTTTTTGTTTTTTTTTTTGTTGTGAGCATTGTTGTTTAGATTACGAGACTTAACCTGAATATAATATTTGAAAATACGTTATTTAATTGTTTTATAAGATGTATTGTTAATTTTAGGTTAGATTAATTTTTTTTATATAACCTCTATAAGAACTTACACGTGGGTGGAGTAAAAAGGACCATCTGAACCCTTACCCTGGCAAAGGCGGAAACAATGAAAAGTAGTAAATTAAATGTGAATTTAGTTGAAAGAAGTAATTTTACAAGAAATTTATATTTTGGATTGGTTAAATTATTTTGTAAAATCTCTTCAAAATTAAAAATAAGACATTGGAACTGTTTGCCCCCTGGCTGTTAAATTTTACCGCTGGTGGTTCCATTTATATGGGACCACCACCATATATATTTGAACAAAGTTATTTGTTTACCACATGTTATTGTGATGTAGTTCATTTGCTTTATGCAGTATAATTACTTGAAGTCAAATTGAAACTTAGTACAGCGCCCTACCCTATATCATTTTTCAATTTGAATATTTGTTAACTTTACTGATAATTTGTAATTTACTGATGTAAGTTACATTAGTAATTATAGTTTTGATAATTTTAGAATTAAAAAAAAACAATCTATTTGATTATGATTTCTTTAGTATATCATCTACAAGTTATATATATATATATATAAGCATAATATGAGCATAATTATTATGTTCTCATTTAATTTAATATATGTATTTTTTCGGGAGTATGTATGAATACAGTCAGGGTTCTTTATTCCATAATCCGAGTGTCACGCATCCGGCATCAGTTGAAAAGAGACCATTTATTTTGATAACAAACTTTTCCCCGACCGAATCGGAAGACGTGAATAATTTGCAAACCTCCGGAGAATCTTCTATTCGGAGTCTGGTTTTCGTTTTGCTTGGTCGCGTTTCTGCTATTTCGCTACTCTCCGAGAGACAAGCTGACTAGCAAATTTGTCGCCATCAAACTGACTGACTGATCTAAATAAACCATCACCAAAAACACAACTCATGAGAAAGTTTTTGCTTCAGGTGGTTGGTCTATAATAAACAAATGTTTGAATAGTAGACTTATACTTTTTACAAAAAATTGTAAAGATTTATCGTCATAATTTTGTTTGATTGTGAGTTCCAAAATTCTTATATAATATACATTCACAGTTAGCAAAAATAAATAAAAGTCACGCGAATAGTTTTTTCTAATTTTAACAAACCTTAATGATTGTTAACCATCAGTTTTCGAGCTATGCATTTCTTTAATTGAATAGAAGCAATTGAAAAAAGCAAGTTATTGTGCTATCTCTACATTTTTGTATCATATTATAAATAATAATAAAAATTCG